CTCGGCACTTTTTGCATGTCATTTGTGGTATTTACATCTGTCACTAACTTAATATTTTGTTTTTTATGAATTTTTATTTCTTAACTTAGTATTTTAGATATGTCTGTACATGAAATCTTGCACATATGGGCTCCATAACTCAGTAGTGTTGTGTGCCTGAGCCATAAGCAGGTGTTTGCACTGAATTCTCTGAGAACTGACACCACTTCTCCCCTGTCACAGCCCTGGCCTATATTATGTCTTGAGGAAATCTGTACTAAGTTTTCCAAGCAGCAAAAACTCTGGTGAGATTGTATCCTTAAAGAGCTGCCAATTCTGGACAGATGATGTCACCTTGCTGGGGACCCTAGCCCTCGTGGCCTTGTGAATCCTGCATGAGAAGACAGCGAGGGCCCTGCTGCATTACGGAGGAATGCAAAACAGGTAGAGCTACAATCTCCCAGGCCCCAGACAGCTGGAGCAGAGTCCAGCAACATCTGTATATGTACCCATGAGGAGCAACAAGGCGTGGGCCACTCAGGTGGCGGCACTGTCAGCCATCATCCGAGCATCGTGGTGTGCGGGACGTACCGTTGGCAGGGAGGAGTTCTCAAAGCACGTGCTTCCAGGATTCCAGCCATTGCTGTTGGCTTCAAAAACCAGCAGCAGGACCACCTGATGAGCATGACTGCCTCTCCAGAAGCAGAGGGCACAGAGAGGGAAGTGAGTTTTCTCTGATTCTGTGATTTTTGAAATCATATAAATTAATTGAATCATTAATAAGAGACATTTTTTAAAAAGACACTGAGCAAGAGCTAACTAGTAAAAATAAGCAGAGATAAGTGGAAACTATGGCCACTGGGTGTATAACCATACAGAGGAAAGAAGTACATTAAGTGACTTCAGAATAGCATGGAGGGTCTGGCGCAGTGACCTAGCAGCTAAGGTCCTTGCCTTGAATGCACCGGGATCCCATATGGGCTCCAGTTCTAATCCAGGCAGGCCTACTTCCCATCCAGCTCCCTTCTTGTGGCCTGGGAAAGCAATCAAGGATGGCCCAAATCCTTGGAGCCCTGCACCTGCAAGGGAGACCTGGAAGAGGCTCTGGATTCCTGGCTTCAGATCAGCTCAGCTCCAGCCATTGCAGCCAATTGAGGAGTGGATTAATGAATGGAAGATCTTCCTCTCTGTACATCTGCCTTTCCAAAAAAAAAAAAATCTTAAAACAAAAATAAAAACCAGCACGGAGCTGGAGCCAGGCATTGTGGTACAACAGATTAAGTTGCCACTTGAGACAGCAGCAGCCCATGTAAGTATTGGTTCTAGTCCCGACTGCTCCCCTTCCAGATCAATTCCATGCCAATGTACCCAGGAAAGCAGCAGAAGATGGCCCAGGTATTTGGGCCCCTGCCACCATGTGGGACACCCCAGTGGGAGGTTCTGGCTTTTGGCTTCAGCCTGGCATAGTCCGTCATTGCAGCCACTTGGAGAATGAACCAAAAGATGAGAAATTCTCTCTTTCTTTCTTGTTCTCTTTCTCTCTCATTCTTTCTCTTTCTGCTTCCCCATTTCTCTGTAACTCAAACAAGTCTTCCTTTAAAAAAAAAAAAACATTTTTAAAAAGGTGGTTCAATTAAATCTCTAGTAGAATAGGTTATAGCAATGTTTTCTTTTTGTGCCAATCAATTGTAACACTGCAATCAATAGTCTTTGTGGGGCCAGCATTTGGCGCAGTGATAAGCAAAGCTACTTCGAACATTCTTGGTCTTTACTGGAGTCCCAGATCCCCTCAGATTCCAGCTTCCTGCACGTCCCAGGGGACAGCGGAGGATGGCCCACATGGGTGAGTCCCTGTTGCACAAACACAGAGTCCCTGTTGCACACACACAAAGCCTGGATGGAGCTCCAGGCTCCTGGCTCTTGTCTGGTCCAGCCTGGCTGTTGAGGGTATCTGAGAACAACAGCAGGTGGAATATCTCTGTCCCTCTCTGCTTTTCAAAGAAAAAAAGATAAAAAAGAAATATATAAAGCAAAAACAAGCAGTCTTATCATGAGTGGTAAGGCCAGTATCATATTTTGGAAGCTGTCTTAAACACATTATATAAGGAAAAGAAAAGTTTTTCTCTGCAACCAACAATTCCCCAGTTCAGCTCTCTCCACGAGGATATCTGAAGCCTTCTGCATCCGTTACTGCACACAGCACCCTTTGCACAGCCCCAGCAGCCGGCTCGTGCTTCATCCCTAACTTTTGCTGAGTCCGAATGATGTCCAAAGCACCAGGATTCTCCTCTGGTTTTTCCAATTCTTAGCCCATGCTGTCACAGGTGGGCCTCTGGGAGAGGATGCTTGTCCTCGTGGGTCCCCACGCTGCATCCCAGCCCCCAAGCAGGGCTCTGCTTTCCTCTGCCCAGCAGCAGCAGCTGCATAGGACCTGTCCTGCAGGCCTGTGCCCTCCCCAGCTGCCGGACAACAAGCCTTTGCTTGGTAGAGAAATCTATGCCCATGCCTGCTCATGTGACCCTCCCCTTGACTCGACCTTGAAGTTGCACTTGACAATCAGCAAACTGAGGCTCTACAAAATTAAAGTCACGTTTCACAGTCGTGCCATTTACTGAGCCAGTGACCCTGGACCAGCCCTTCCCTCAGTTGCCTCAACTACAGAGGAAGTGTGACACTAATGCTAACGTCAGAGGGTTGTTGAGAAAGTTCAGTGAGACAGTGTCTGAAGGGCCTGCAACAGAACCTGAGACACAGCAGAAATTTGGTCAATGGGCCCTTTGCCAAGTCTCTTCTTCCCCAGCCTGAGTCTTGGGGTTTCCCAGTTGCCTGGTCCATACTTGTGTCTTCTAGAACATCCATGCCCTCAAGAACATGCTGCAAGGAGGGGGGACCCACCAGCCTCCACCCACCCCCAACCCCCAGCAGTGGCCCAATCTCCCTCCCAACAGGGCTCAGCTCCAAGGAGTCCAGCTGGGTGCATCTGGTTGGGGAGATTAAATTATTTTTGAATTCCTAACTGAATGTTCTTTTAATGGAAACTTTAATGACAGGCATTGAAATAGATTTCCTCTGCACCCCCTCCTCCTGTGGCGCCCCCCACAGCTCTGCTGCCTCACACAGTTCCCGATAACCTTTATTCCCTACCCCTGGACTTTTATCTCCCCAATGACAAACAGCCCTTGCTGGACAGAAAGAGGAAATTCCAGTCATTGTTCTCAAACTTCTGGCTTCCAAAATAAAGCGCTCTATCTCCCTTGTCGTGCTTTGATTGACATACACTTCCTGAAATGGCAGACAACAACGGCTCAGGACTGGGGCGGGCCCTCATTTGCATTCTTGCCACCAGAGGTTTCTCTAACCTGTGTTCTGGATAGGGCGGGTAAGCCCCTTTGAGGTCCCAGCTCCCATTTGATGACACATGTTCAGGGAAGACACCTCTGCCATGGTCTCTGTGATGCCGCTGCAAAGTCCAGGGAAGACCCTGGATGCACACAGCCCCTCTCATCACCACGCTCCTCAGAGCTGGCCACTTACAGAGGCTCTCTTCCTTCCGCCCCTCATCTCTCGAGCAAGCAATAATGTAGAGGCATTGAGGCCCTTCTATACATGACAGTCGCCCAGATCTTAATTAGACTACTGGAACATGAGTCAACCTAAGTCTGGGATGAATAAAACAAGTCAAAAATCTCTATAGCAACAGAAATAAATCGGGAAGTTCAAAGGGAATCAGGACCAGGGAAAATGCTGACTATAAGAATCCATCTCCAAGTGCCCTTTTTCTGAAGGGTGAAAAGAGATATCTGATGGCTTTTATAATATGCGATGCAGTCATTACAGTGGTGTGGCCCACCTTTAGCCATCCCAGGGCCCCTTTGTTCAGATGCCACTGGGAGAATGTCCCTGCCTTGAGATGATAAGTCTGCTTTAGGTGCCAGCCTTAACCAAAGGCAAGCTGGCCTGCTGGAACTCCCTGCTTCTGACCCATCTATTTTGGTTCTGTCACACCTTCCTCACCACAGGCTTCGTGTTCTTGGGCTGCTTTGGAGATCCAGGCACCCTTTAGAATATCCAATTACCTGTCAAAAGCCCCAAATCCTGAGAGCTTTATTGGATAAACATTAATGCCTGCTAGTGGGACTTCGCTTTAAAGGGGAGACTCTAACTGCACAGTGCCTAGATCCTAACAAAGACATATTTGGAATCAGGACAAACTTCCCTAAGGAACTCAGAAATAAATACCAATCAGAAGGATTTCAGTTGCTCAGCTCTCTTAGCAGTCAAGGGAATGGATGGCTTACGAATGTTCCACTTCCAGCAAGCCCCAAGCATGCTGCCAACCAACAGAACAGACCAAAAGGAGTGTGTACTGACATGAATGACTTGAATCAATATATCTCTCTCCCCGCAGTTCATAAAGAGCTACAAAGCCATCAGACCTCAGGACCAAGGGCCAGCCGAGGATTTCAGCTCCCATGGCTTTGTGATACCCGATTCCATTTAACTTTATCAGCAAATTAAATTGTGATGCCAGAGCCCGGACAGAGCAATCGTCTGTGTGGGCTGGTTGGGCCAACTGTTCAAGCTGCTAACAAAGTGTGTAACCCTAAACGCATGAGCCTTTTCACTGGTCTTGGTCAGAAGTGCCACAGTGTATTAGCATGTATGCCAACTCCACTCCCAAGTGCAGAAAAATAAACCCAGCCATACAGACAACTGCCAGCAGTTGCCACTGGATATGTCCAGGCTCACCCTGGAGAGATTTAATGGAGGTGTACAGGAAAGGGTGGGTCTGCAGCTGAGGTCATTTCCTCCTGAGCAGTCAAAACAACAACTGTATCCTATCTACCCCCTTCTCACCTGTCCTTCCCCATCCGGGACACATCTCACCTTTAGCAAGAGAATTTTTCCCAGTTGGCTATCACTGTTGACAGACACTTTGGAAAACGGCATGCAGTTTCAGAAATTTAATTTTAATCAATAGAAACATTTGATTCTCAAGCATCCTTGAGTACCTTTTTTTTGTTTGTTTCCCAAGGTACATTCAAAATAATGTAGGCAGGGAACTGAACAAGACATTCACAGCAAAATCTTCCCAAAGGGCAATCTTTTCATTAAAACGATGCCTTTCAGGAAGATGTGGCATGGGTTGCCCAAGAAAAGAAGACACAGAGGTGTCCTCAGTGTGAAGCCACATCCCAGTCTTCTCCTTCCCACTTCTCCTTTGAATCACTTTTGTGGACAAACACTAGGCGGAGAACACACAGGACTTCTCTCCGAAGCAGCAGCAGTGTAGCGTCTTCCGGTCTCACACTGCACCTTCCGAGTTTTCATTGATGACTTGGAAGAGCGAGAAATGCTGTTGTAACAGATGTGCAGCACTTCAGCCTTCCAGTACAGAATGAAGAAGTGTCCTCTGCACTCTCAGCTCAATCCTTCCTGGCTTAGAGAACAGTATTCATCAACATTTTAGAATGCAGATGCAGGCTCCATCTAAGGGTCCACTTGAGATCATTTGGACCAAAACTCAGCAGAGGCTGCAGCATCTGGATATTGTAGAGCAGGTGCTGCTCTGGCATCTTCCTCTCTATCTCGCAGATGAAGGGTGCAGAGTCCCTGGCCTGTGCCTTGCCAGGTACTTCTTGAAACATACATGTTACAGACTAAGACAAAGCCTGCAGATACCAAGGCTGCAAAAGCTTCAAGACTTTCAAGTCCTGCTTCAAGTGGTGGTCTTTTCTGGAGACCAGTCAGCTAGTTCATCAACCCCCAATACAGGGTACCATTTTCCCATTGTTAGAAGTCACTGTTGAAATGCTGTCTTTCTCATCAGTAGGCTCCAAGGAAGAATGCAGTATTCCCCTGATCCTATGCAAAGCTCAGAACTCAGCAAGTTTCATGGAAAATTCAAGGAATATCTTATCTGACCTGTTCATGAAACTGGTTTTTTTTTTGTTTATTTGTTTTTTATTTTGTTTTTCATTCCCAGAAATTCTGCCCGATTCCATGGTCAAGATCCAAGCGAGTGCATATAGTTTCCGTAAGCCAGTTTCTTACAAATGCATTGCATGTTCCAATCTAGTAGCTTTGAAAGCTGCCAGCCTTGCAGGATCACATTTACCAGGGGTCATAGTGCTGATAGATTTTCAAGACTTTTATCCTACTTTCTTACCCCTAAATTGTTGATTGCTTTGTAATACTTCTGGGCACTAGTTACTCTAAAGATTCAGTGTTGCTCGAATTGAAAAGCTCCTGCTACATTTGAGTGTCATCAGTTTCATTGACTTCTGACAAGGTAAAGCTGGGGTTGTCGTAGCCTGTCTTGATCCTGCCTCTCCCGTCTTTCTCATTGTAAAGACACATGGCACAGTGAGGGGTCTCCACTTCCACAGTCTTGCTAAAGTTATGAAAATCCACTCGGTATTTCCCTTCCTTGGTCTTGGACACTATGGGAGCAAAGCGGTATCCCCAAAGCACCTCCTCTGGGACATAAGATGTCCGCACTTGGCAGGTGGCACTGGTTGATTCCACTGTGCCATCTAAAAACACCACTAATTCAAAGTCCTGCTGGGGGAGTGTTTCTGCTGCCATGTGGAAGAAGGGGCTGTTGTGATCAATGACGTGATAAACTGTCAGTGGGGAGATGAAGAATAAATTTTCATTGCCAGCATCGACCAGGAAGTTAATATTGGTCTGATCCAAAATGATGGTCTCCCCTTCAGGGGTCACTGTGGTCTTCAGAAGCTTCCCATAGATGTGGCTGCTAATAAGAAGGCTCTTCCTTAGATTAGCCACTCGGATCAGGAGGCAAAGCTTCCCACCTCGCTTGCTGATCACTGCGTTTTTGCTGAAGGTAATGGTCTTGGCACGTTTCTTAGGCCTGGAGATCTTGGCTAAGATGGCTCCACACATGAAAGAGTTGATGATAACCCCAAGTATAGACTGGAAGATAAGCAGAAAAATGGCAGTGGCACATTGTTCTGTCACACACCTGAATCCATACCCAATGGTCACTTGTGTTTCTAGAGAAAACAGGAATGCTGCAGTCATGCCATTGATGTTTTCCACACAGGGGGTGTGATTGGCAGGAGGATGGAACTCTGGGAGGTCCTTGTGCGCATAGGCGACCACATACCACAGAAGACCAAAGAGGAACCAGCTCCCCAAGAAGGCTGTGATGAAAACGGTCATTTTATATCGCCATTTGAGGTCAAGCACAGTTGTCCAGATGTCCACAAAGAATATAAGCCGTGACTGTGCCTCCACATTGCCAAACTCTATGTTGCACCTTCCATCCTTGGAGACCAGCCTTGCCCTTTGCCGAGAACGCCGGAAGAGGTGCATGACAAACCATTTCCGAAAATGTTTAAACATCCTTTCTGTCAACACCCTGGTCTGAAAACACATAAAAAAGGAGAAAGATTATGTTTATAGCAGTGGTCAACTAGGTGACTCACATAAAAGCCTGGCTCCATGTGAAAAGATCATTCAATGCTATCTGGGTTACTGATCATTTGGGCAAACAGACAAATTTATTCTGGAGACCACATGCTATTTCCAATAGAAACTTTCCACTGAAATACCATATTACTTAGATATAAAGAGGTAAAATAATCACAGAGCGATAGAAATGGAGGAAACAAAGACATCCTATATTCAATGTTTTCCTGACTTCAATCATCAAACACACATCCTTAAAATACTTGTGTAACCAATTATGAGCTGTATTTTCATTTTTCTGATAGGATTCTTCAAACCAAATCCATTTCATCTTTAATAAACTTAATCTAATACTAAGGCAGACAATTTTGTGAAATCACAACCTTCCTTAAAGTACTACTTGCATCTTAATAATATAGAAAAATAAAGAATGGAAAAAGGAATCATGCTTCAGGATACTTACTAAATCATCCTGTATACTCCTCTTGGTGTTCATGGATCAGAGATATCTTTATCTGACTCAGTACCCTTATTTATCAAATGAGGGAATTGAGACTTCAAAAATTTAAGTGAGTTATCCAAAGTCATGTACCTACCAAGTGGTAGATAGCAATAAAGCTATCTACCAAAGCTCCCTCCATCCGGTGCAAGGCAACTTTCATCACACTATGACTCGACTATCAAGCTTCCTATTTCTAGGGGCCAGCACAATGGCTCTACTGGCTAATCCTCCATCTGCAAACACTGGCGTCCCATATGAACACTGTTTTGAGTCCCAATTAATCCACTTCACATCCAGCTCCCTGCTTATGGCTTGGGAAAGCAGTGGAGGATGATCCAAAGTCTTGGGATTCTGCACCACGAGAGAGACCTGGAAGAGGCTCTTGGCTCCTGGTTTCAGATCAGCTCAGCTCCAGCCATTGCAGCCATTGGGGAGTGAGCCATCAGATCAAAGATCTTTCTTTCTGTGTCTCTCCTCCTCTCTGCAAATTGCTGTAATGATAAAAATAAAGTCAAGTTCCCCTATATATTTTAAGATTAGTACAGCATTTGGTAGATTTCCTTTGACTCTTAATACTTCATGCTACTTAAAACAAAGCTCACATCCTACCAGAGCATCTTCAAGACTTTTCAATGAATCCACAAGCTGATTCCTACTCCTTCTTCACGGCTTGCAAAGATTCCCAGAAAGAACAACATCAGGACTCCACCAGTGTCTAGCACTTCTGTCCCTTCTCCTGAAGTAAACCACTGGTAAACACGGATTGCTATTCTACACGGGGAGAATCAGGTTTTATTCAGTCCTCTTTTACAGCTGATAACATTGGCTGTGGGTGCTTATTATTTATTCAATCAGCACACTACTTCAATAAGTGACTCAAGATCTTCAGTACTATCCACTCAATAGTTTCCTGTTGATGATATTATTGTAACTTCCATTTGACACCAAAATAATGAAGGGACTTTCCCCAAAAGAAGTCAACAAAAGTGAAACCTGGGAGTCACAAACACTCGACTACACCAAAGAAAATCAAGGTGTGCCCACCATGGTCAGCATTGCCTTTGTGGTGTTTTTCATTAAATGCAAACCCATCTTTTAAAATAGATTTCAAAATCCCCCTTCAAGAATGTGTTTATTCAAAAAAAACTAGGAAGCGAAACCAACCTAGTTTAAACAAAAGTGATATTCCACAGAGTCTTGTTCATGGCCTCAACCCATGTGAAAACACAAAAAGCCAACACCAAGTAGAAGTGAAAAGAAAACCACAGCTGTGCTGACTTGAAATGTTGAGGACAAGATCTAAAGATATTTTCAAAAAGAAAGTACCAGCAAAACAGAGCAAAACAAAACAAAACAACAATGCACACTGCCAGAGGGCCTGACCCTCACCCCACCCAACCTTCCTTGGCCTCCATTCCCCAAAGAGGATGAGGGGATGATCTCATGGGAGCCATGCAGAGCAGGGAGTGGGCCTCTTCTCTCCAGTCTCTCCCCCTTGCTTGCTCACCCACCTTCTCACCTGGCCTGCACCTGCCAACATTTCCTAGGATCATGGATGCTCATGTTGCAATAAGAACTCTCCATAGGATGGATTTCACCATAAATAATAAATTCTAAATTCAACAGTTAGCAACTGAACCCACATTTCCTTGCCGTATTTTAGGATTCCTGGGATGGCTTCTAACATACCACTAACTTCTGAGATCTTCTTTTCCATCACTCTTCCTCCAGCTTCTCTGGAATTCCCTTCACCTTTGAAGATAAAGAATGTCCTGTACCGTGAATCGATGCTCCTTCTGTAGTTCTTGGAGAGGTTTGAGTCTCTTGGGGGATCTTGAAATCTTGGAGGTTTGGAGACCCAAAACCTCCATGACTTCACAAGTAAGAAAACAATATCTTCTCGGCCTTGCAAAGCAGCCAGCGACCCAAAATACCATTCCCACACAGTCTACACTTACCAAACGTTTTGAGACAGTCTGGGCTGAAGCCTCCATGACTGGAAACAGCAAGCAAGCAGCACTGGCAGCTGGTCTCTGTGAGCAGGCTTCCTCCTCAAGCCAGCATAATTTATTTTGGGCTTCAGTCAATGGACTGGTACTAATTTCTATGAGTTTGAAAATACTTAATCTGATAACAGAGTTGTGTGATTTAAATCAAGGCAACTGATTGTCCTCAACCAAGCCCTGAGGTAGATATATATATACTTTTTTTCTGACCTCACATGGCTCAAATACCGTCATGCTAAGACATGGCACATCACCAGCTGAGGTCCCCAAGCCACAGAGGTGGACTGGGTCCCAGCACTGCCCTCCTCTCCTTCGCTATGCTCTGTGGCTCACCTGCTGTTTCTCCTAAGCCATGCCAAATGACTTTTGGCCAGAAATAATTAGTTATCATCAATCTCCCAGTCTGGTTTCTGAAATGCATTGAGACACCGAGCTTTGCAAGGGTTCACAATTACAGGTGAATGTACACACGTCGGCAGGTATATATTTATAAGATGAAAGTAAGATCGCACCAGGAAGAAACAAGATATCATGTTAATCTCTCTATTCAACAGTCATAAGAAACTGAGATGGAAAAGCAGCTTTTATTATTGGATTTATGGGGGAAAATCTGGCATTAACTGAAGGTGTTTTTTATGTGTACTGGGCTAGTCTATGCTGATGATTTATTTGTTCAAAGAATGAGAATTCTACTTAGAAGACACAAGGAGATGGGATAAATTCAGCCACTAAGCAAACCTGTCACTCACCGTCCAATCTGAGTATTACTGCTCATATCCTTCTTTACTGAGACAATGGCCCTTAATCTAGGCCCAGACAAAGCCAATGTGTATTTTATGAACCATTGGGTGATTAAGGATTGTCACCAGTGTCTGAGTTATGTGAGTATAACAACCAGGCTTTAGGCTCCTTTCTATTGAAACCAGCAAATCTTAACAGTAAGCAAAAGGCCGCACATTGGCTAATATTTACCAAGGTTTTCTTAGTGACCTGGCAAAGTGAGCAGATTATATTATTGCTGCTATTTCTTTGGTGTTCTGGCATTCTTGTTCCATAAACAGTCCATTTACAGAAAGCAAGCAGCCTTTTCGTGCACTTCCCCACCATTGATTTGTAAGGCCAGCAGAATTCTTCCTGTTCTCAAGGAGCTCACTGTCTAATGGCGAAAGGAGTTAAGGAGATTAGTGATTAAAATACAGTGTGGTCTGTATGATGCCAAAATGAAAAACTCATCTATAGGAGTTGAGGGTCTGCCAGACACACTTCAGCTGGCATAAGATCCATTAATGTATGTAGAAATATACCCATTTATGTGTATATACTTGTCTTAATGGACACATAAATTTATCCATTCTATGTATATTGATTCGTTTATGTATTGTACTCCATAATGTTGTAGTGATGCTTCTCTGTGTGCTGGCTGCCTTGCTGGACATCGGGAATGAATGGTTGGCCAAAGAGCCATAGTCTTGTCATTCAACAGCAGCCAATCAAATAGGAAAGCTTCAGTGCAGACATAGCATCTGGCCTACCTGTTAAGATCCAGATGAAGGAAACCATATGCCACAATGAGGTACCTGTGGACCAGGTCTAGCTTCCAATGACAGCTTGCTGCTCAGTTAAATTCTGGGAGACAGTGGTGGTAATTCAAGTAACTGTGTTTCAGTTGCTCTTTTAAAAGGCCTGGGTTGAGCTCCAGCTTCCAGCCCTGACACAGCCTAGACCCAGCTTTCTCAGAAAGCAAATAACAACAGGGAAACACTCCTTCCCTCTCCCTCGCATAACAAATTTGAAAATCTTTCAGGAGAACTCAGATACAGAGAGACATGTGCCATGATGTGAAACAGAGAGAACAGTCAGGGAACATCTATTTTGAGAGTCTCAAAAGTGACACAGAGGGCAAGGCTTGTTCTGAATTAGACATACACAGGAGGAATGCTACAACTATTTGATGAACCACGATAAACAAATTAATCAATGCTTACGAAAAAGCCAAGAATGTGCTGTCACTGTGGTTTCCCCCTCTAGTGGGGACAACCTGGTGTGTGTAGTACCAACCAGATCATGTGTCATTGTGTCTGTGATGCAGGCAGGGACAAAATCAACAATGAGGCATTGGAAGACATTCTAGGAAAACAAATCAGGTGGTGTGAGGGCCTCTCGATTCTAAACAACGTGGCTATTGCTGATCTTCTAAGATGAGAGACTGATCTTGTGCAGGGTTCCATCACATGCAGGTGGTTCTGAGTCTTTTTCTAATTTGAGAGACCGAGACAGTTTCCATTGGCTACTTCTCTCCCTATGTGCCTACAGTGGCTGTGGGGATGAGGCTGGGAGCTACATGGGTACCCCAGGTAGGGGGTACGAATCAAATTCCTTTGCTTCCCAGAGTCTTTATGAGGCAGAAAGCTGAAATGGGAAGTAGAGCCAGGACTTGAACCTGGGCACTGTGCTCTGGGACGCCAATGTCTGAACCACTAGGCTGAATAACCACCTCTGAACTTGAGAAGTCTTGGGCATTCATCACCCTGCTTCCTCCCTGTGCCCAGCAGTCCCTTTGTGGGAGACAGAAGGCCAAATAATCCTTGCTTTAGGCTTATTAAGGCTAATCTCTCTTTATAGACATGGAAAAGAAAAAGCACTGGCTATGCTCTGCCTTTAAGTTAGAACTCTCTTGTGCAGCCCTAGTCAATGCCAGGAAATGTTGAAGCCCTAGGTTTTATGTTAACAGCAGGAAATATGAGCTATGTGGCCCCCAAGCAGAAGCCAAATGATTTTTCTCTAGTCCCTTGTCAGCTGTGCTGGAGAAAACAAGTTAAGTTTCCCTGAAATTTTACTACTGTGTTTCAATTCAAGAGTCAGTTGAGTCAATGAGGATTTTTTTAAAGAACCTTCCAACAAGCAATGCATTGAATAGGATTGTAGGGTGTGGATTCTGCCTTCTTAGTCAATTTAACCGAATAAATATTCTGTTCATTGAATATCTACTACATACCGAAAAACAAAGTTGTGGTTCCTGCTCTGCAGTTTCTTCCA